CTGAAACTTGGCAATAATGGGTGCACAAAATTTTAATACAAAACAAATTATTGGATCTGGGCCAGTGGAAGAGTTAGTTTTCAGTTCAGAAAGAAGTTTTTACAACTCAAGCATACGATACAGTGATATCTGACAGCCTCAAATTTACAAGAAGCTGGTTCCCACAGTATGTTTCTTGTAGTAACTGCAAAAACTGACTTAAAGCAATCATTAAAACAGTTCGCTTTGTCGACATCATTAATGCCATAACCTTGTTCAGCTATTATAGGAGGAATAGTACTATCTTCTTTGTCATTAGCCTTAACAAACTTCCACATCTCATTTGGACTACGCCTAAGCTTTTCACCTTGGGAGGAACAAAAGTGATATTTGGCACTTATTATTTTCAGCTTAATTTGTTTGCCCAAAATATAAAGCCTGTTAAACATTTCATCAGTCAGACACTGCAGAGACTCCTTGTGTCACCCCGTCTTCAAAGATACCGTAATCATTGGCAGGGGGCGCACACAAGTGCAAAGAGAGGTGCTGGAGGCGCATGCATGGCAATCGAAAAAGCTGACTCGGGGCACTGCCGTCAGCCAGCCTTCGGTTTATCTTCACAAAAAGGAGATATATTTTATAGATGCATGGTGAGCGACACGCCATTGGTTGTTTCAGCGTTGGTTGGCTTTGTGGCGTTTTGTTGTTTGAGCCGTTTTTAATAAAACTTCAGTTGATAGTCAGCGCTTGTCCTGTGTTCTACTCTCGTTGTCCTCGTCTTTTTTGCGCGCTGTTCCCAATTTCTTAATTCATCAGTCCTCTGGCTCAGGTACCTTCAAAAGAAGCGACATCTTCTATTGAGTAAGCGCTTAATCCCGTTGGTAAACCACGGCGTGCTGTGCCCTTTTTTACCTAAAACAATTTGGGATGGCAATGAACAATCGAGAGCAGGTTGTTTTTTTAAATAAATTCCAAAGATCTTCAACACTGGACGTGGCACTGATTGTAACTAACTCCTCAAATGTATCTTCCAGATTATGCGTAATCAAGCCGTAACTACCTTTATCGAAAATGCACACCCTTCGAAGAGGGGAAAGCACGACCATTGGTCGTCCAAAAGAAACTTTAGCTAGGATACCGTCATGGTCACTTATACCAGGATCGGTAAGACGGACTGAACTAAGCTGGTGGAATTGAAAAAAACAAAAAAACAAAAAAAAAACAAGTCAGGCGTTGATGCACAGTCACTTGCACGACGTTTGGAGAAATCAACAAACTGATAAAGACCGTTAGTGGCGATCATAGTACTAAATTCAAGGAAAAGTGCAGAGCGGCAAGAAAGCGCGGGTGAATTGTTAGTCCACTACATATCAGGCATCTTGAAATCGCGGCCCAATAAAAACTTCGAATCTAAACTCAACACTGTATGAGAAGGCGATTTGAAGGGAGAAAGGCTGCCCCCACTGGGGTTATGATGAAAAGCACCAAACAAGATATGTTCACCATTCTGAAACATAACTTTTCACCACACAGTCTCACAATCATTCACAAGTTTCTACACTCTAAATAAAGCCCGTGCGTTTGCTTTCCCGCACAACACTGGGAGAGACAATCACCGCAACTTACGGAGGCAGCTCAGCGAATGACGATGCCGAAACATATGTTTAGACCAAAAAACGCAGTCTGAGTTGTGACATTAAGCAATGCAAGCATGACGTTTTGCATTGCTTAATGTAACAACTCAGACTTCGTTTTCTGGTCTAAACATATGTTTCGGCATCGTCATTCGCTGAGCTGCCTCCGTAAGTTGCGGTGATTGGCTCTTCCAGTGTTGTGCGGGAAAGCAAACGCACGGGCTTTTTTTAGAGTGTACAGGTGCGCTCGGGAAGGATCTATCATCGAGTAGGAAAACGTCACCACCATGGGTGTCCGGTCACGTATGTAAAATTGAAATTCTCATTAATTCTGCTGGGAATACTGTGTTAAGATTATTTAGTTGACTTGTACAGTTAAAACAGCGCTTCTAAACCTTCCCGGTTTTCTGCAGACACTTCATAGCATTTATTTCGAAGCAAAAATAAAATGCCAATGAAATTTAATTATGCTAATCAGTCACATTTTAAATATAGCAATGTATGATGATGCGAACTCAGCATGTGGACAGTAAATACCGTATTTACTCGAGTAATAGCCACACTATTTATGAACAAGGCCCTTGTGTCTACTTTCCCGCAAAGCACATGTACAGCTAATCATCGCGTTGCGCATAAATAACATGGCGAATAACTAGATCGAGAACACGAGTCTCCATACAAATGAAACCTTCGCAGATCATATCTTCGCGCGACGACGTTATCTCTATCCTGTAAACTGCAGGAATCATGCTGTCGATCGCGGTGATTGGCAATCCGCGTGCTCCGCGGAAAAGCGAACCCTCCGGTTTTCTTCATAAACAGTGCAGCTATTACTCGAGTAAACACAGTATACTTTTAAAATTCAGCTGAACTCATTGAACTCATTAATGTGATTTTCAAGCCTGTCATTCCACTCCCAAAATTATTTTGGTTTTTATTTAAATGTCTTGACCGCGTCCATGAACAGTTGGGGCCTTATTAGAGGTGTCAGCTAAACATCACTCTAAAGTTTGTGCGTCTACTTTCACGCACAAAACTCGCAAAGCCAATCGCCGCAACTTACGGAGGCAGCTCAGCGAATGACGATGCCGAAACATATGTTTAGACCAAAAAACGCAGTCTGAGTTGTGACATTAAGCAATGCAAGCGTGACGTTTTGCATTGCCTAATGTCATAACTCAGACTGCGTTTTTTGGTCTAAACATAAGTTTAGCCATCGTCATTCGCTGAGCTGCCTCCTTAAGTTGTGGTGATTGGCTCTCCGAGTGTTGTGCAGGAAAGCAGACGCACGGGATTTTATTTTTTTTTTTAGAGTGCACGAGCAGGGTTCAATCCCCCCCCCCCCCCCCCCCCAAATCGCAGCCAAGCAGCCACGTGATCTAGTGCCGGTCAAATGGTGACATCATTCATCAGAGCCACACGCGCTAGCCATAGCAAAGGGCACGAGCTTACCTTTAGACATTAGGGAACCGCCCACAATTGAACGTCTAAATAACTTCTCAAATATAGAGGTAAATGATCTTTTCACGTAATAATGGCGCAAACTACTCGCATTAAAAAAAGTGTATCAGTACTTATTATGGTAAGCACTTTGACGTACTTCGGTGCATATGGCACAGAAATGCAATCACCTAAATAAACTTATGATTACTTCATTCCCGGCATCCTCTAGTACCTAAATCGAGGGTTAATAATATGGAGACAGTGGTTATGGTCACGGCGAGGATATATGCGCCAAACAACAAACAGCGCTTGCAGGTGCATCGAAGACACCTTGTTGGCAAGATTTTTGACACCTGAGAGTCACCAGTTGGTTTAGCTGTTTAATGGCTCAACAGCAACGAGGGCCATACTGCGACCAGTGGGTCACAAAACATCATGCTGTGAAGAGGCGTACGTGAAAGTGGAAGATTGATTGAAGGTTGAAACAATTTTGGTCTTGCATCATCGGGAGACAAAAAATCGGCCTCAAACTAGAGGACAATGCCATTAAATACAAAGAATCACCCCTTTCCTGCACTATCGTGGCAAAGACAGTGGTAGCACAAAGTGTAACGCAGCGCCGAGCTAGACGTGATTGCAGCGCCACCATTTTTGCCGCAGCGGCATATCCGGAAACACCGAGACGGAAAAGATAGAACGGTTGCGCCGTGCTTCCCAATACAAAAAGAAATGCATAGAAAAAAAGTTTAAATAACAGAAGCCAAGAGAAAGAATAAGAAAACCGAGAAGCGAACTAACCAATGAACAGAACAACTTGTGTCTTTTTACTGACCCCCGAGGGGTGGCGCTGTAATCGAACCTTCCTCTCAGTGGCCGGGTTCCAGTGGTCAAGGGACGCGAGTTTCCCGAGTTTTTTTAGTAACGTTGGTGCGAGCGAAGCTGAAGCAACAAGCGCGAGCATGTTGCTCTGAACGACGCCGGCACTGCTATAACAAACGTGCTTGGAAGGGACTGTGAGAGTTCGGAGCTTGCTATTGTAAAGTCTGCGAGGTGCCTTCATATGCGCTTTTCTTAGGGTTTCAACCACTGTATTTAGGGTTTTTACATCTGACCATTTTGTTTTCAATGCTTCTATATATATATATATATATACAATTTTTTTCTTGAGCGCGTGAAAGCATGTTTTTTGGCACGAGCCTTTGACGTTGACTGTATACGACGGAATTTTGTTTCCGGCTATTTCTTCGTGTTTTTCCTGCGAGCGCGATCTGTCGGCATCGGGTACTACAAAGAATGTCATTACCCAAAACGGAAGGACATTGAGGCATCCTATATACTTCGTTCTCCGCTAAGCTGACAAGGCGATGGAAGCTGCGTGTTCGCCGGTCCAATCCATCGCTTGCTTTTTATTGTCCGACCCCGCTCTTTGCCCGACAGTATGCGTAAAGGGCGTAATCATGCGGTACAAGACCGACGGTTGACTGCGGGATGGCTCCCGCAGTCAACCGTCGGTCTTGTACCGCACGTAGCTTTCAACGCCCTGTCGGCTTAGCAGTGAACCAAGTATAGTCTGTTTCGGGTAAAGAAACCAGGTCAAGTGCCCCCCGCAAATTTCTTCACTCGTTCCACTTCAGCAGGACGAACGCTGAAGAGGAGGGGAGGACGGACTCGACTCACTTTCTCTCCAGCGTTCACTCTACTAAAGTGGAAAGAGTGGAGGGCTTTGTGGGACGAGTTAGTGACCAGAGAAAATATAGTAAGGGTGCAGGCGAGCTGGTGAATATTAACCACGGTGAATTAACCTGAAGTTAAGGAAAAAAAAAAGAAAACATAAAAAATGTTGTTTTCTTGATGGTGGTGCAGACTGCTGGAGGACGCCCTGGAACTCCAGTTCTTCGCCGACGACGGAGATTTACGCAAATCAGATACTTTGCGCAAACAAGAACAACGAACACGTTTCCTGGTCGTAAAGCAATTACAAATAAAGCATTACAGGTGAGTGTTAAACTCCAGTCACATGCCGCGTACGGCAGAAGTCTCGCGAGCACACCACGGGAGCGCGAACCTAGTTAGCTCGTCACGAGCTCGTTCACAAGTCAACCCTGTCTTGGTCGTCCCAGGGTTAAAACCAGTCGGCCGCCACCTATCTCGTCCAATCATGGGTTCAACGCAGATCCTATTGGGTACAGGCGGCGAGGCACTCCCAATGAATCCAACAAGAGGTTACTCTGCACTCTCAATGGGCACAGGTAATGAGCACAACCCACTGTTTTAAAGTTGAGAGTAGAACAACAACCCTATATACTCTGGCCAGAAAGCAATCATACGTGTGTGGGCTGTACAAAAACAAAATGCACAGGGGCGTGTGGTAGAACTATGACGATCTCTTGGTGACACACTCAGAGTGACGGAAAGGCAGCTGCTATGTCGGGTAGAGTATAAAATGCTACTTAACTGTATTAAAAAAATCATCGATACGCAAGTGTGTTAAGTAGCATTTTATACTTAACTTAATACGCAAGTGCAAAGTAATTTGACCGAAATCTTGTCAAGGACGGATTTCTACGTCAGCCAGGCTGGGACAATTCAGCCATGTAAGAGAAAATGTTTCCATGGCTCCGCGCTTTTTCAGGCCACCTTCGACCATCGCTCCTTTTTTGCATGATGCAGCATGGTGTTCAACGTAGACGATATTCATTAGGAAATCAAGCGTTGTGATTTTCGGTGAGCGCTTCTATAAAAGGTCGACTGAAAGAATTTGTCCGAAAACTTACATGACATTTAGAAAGTATAATCTTAGCTTGCGTATAGATCGGAAAACATATTTCGTGAAATATATTTCACGATATACATATATGTCGATGAGATGCGCATTGCATGTTTTTATGTATCGTAAAATACTTTATGTTAAGAGAAGAACAACGATTTAACATTTACGACTGACAATAAGTTGTAGTAATCATTAAACTTTTAGGTGATTAACCTCCCTTTGTGACAGTTTCTCGATGGATATAAAACATGCGACTGGTGTAAACAATTTCTCCTTTTAGTTACTTGAAAATAAAAATAACTTATGCAAACGAAAAAAAAAAAAGACAAACTTTCGAGACTGGCGAAAAGACGAAGGACAACACAACACACAGTCTAAACTTTGTTGAGATTATGTGTGTTGTGTTGTCCTTCGTCTTTTCCCCAGTCTCGGGGTTTTGTCTTAAATTAGGTTAAACCATTACCAGCTCGCTTGCGCCCTAACATCTTGTTAAAAAAAAAAAAAAAAAAACGGTTTTACAAAAAAAAAAAAAAAAATCGGAAAATATATTTAAATTTTAGCCGTTCCAACTGCTTCGAACCTGTTTGAACCGTTATTTTGCTCTCCGGAGCTGAACGGAAAGCCGTGAACCCGAACCCGAACCAAACCGATAAAAATTTCGGTTCGATACTGCTTCTGCAGCCGTTCACACTGCAAAGCCCCATCAATGGCATCGCCAACGCCACACACTTTCGTTTCCTCCAACGGCTGAGCGGCTCGGCTCGTCCTCTCGTCGTGGTCCATCGTCCACCCATCAGTGTCTCGTACGTCTCGCCCTTCATGCTGATCTTCGTGGTCTTGCCTTCACGTTGCTCTCGGAAAACCGTGTGTTGTAAAAGGATAAAAAACAGCGCGAATGACGATACGGACAGAGATGGTGTACACACACAGAGCGCTGATTTTCAACTGTTTAGTTTAAAAAAAGACGCCCACCGGCTTGGTTACATACAATCAAATACGTCACATCACATCACCTGACCATTACGTCGAAACCTGCGGATGAACGCAAGTTCGCAGTCATAACAACTTATCGAGAGAGCACTGTCACATTTATCTTTATTTAGTGAAATAAAAAAAAAAGGCTTCCGTAATCTCTCTAGTCGTTTGTTGACGGCGCTTTCCAAGAATTTTGGTATCGACTAAAACAGAAGTACACCCACAGCTATCGCAGTGCACCGCCAAGTTTCCTGACGGTGAAGCCTTCACCGAGCACGCATGTTCCCGTAATTTGTCGTTTATACAACTTCCTGTTTGGCCGATGCATATCTTCTTACACGTCAGCGGGATGCAATAAACCAGCCCTCCCGCGCAAGGAACAAACTTATTTTTATGCTGCTTAACAGATCCAGGGATAGGTGCCCGGCCTTGATGAGAGCTTCACCCTCAGGGCACTTGGTGGTGCACTGCGATAGGTGTGGGTGTACTCCTGTTTTAGTCGATACCAAAATTCTTGGAAAGCATCGTGAACAGACGACTAGAGAGATTACGGAAGCCTTATTTATTTCAATGAACAAAGATAAAGTGTCAGTGCTCCCTCGATACGTTTATATGACTGCGAACTTGCGTTTATCAGCAGATTTCGACGTAATGGTCAGGTGATGTGATGTGACGTATTTGATTGTATGTGACCACGCCGGTGGGCCTCTTTTTTTTTCAATATAAACTGTTGAAAGTCAGCGCTCTGTGTGTGCACACCTTCTCTGCCGCGTCATTTTTTGCGTTGTTTTTTACCCGTTCACAATGCTACACCAACTAGTCCAACTTTCCACTGTCCCATCCGACGGAGCGAGCTCAGTACTCCCAAACGCACATATAACACATCGCGTTGTTTTTGTGTGTGTGTGTGTGTAAAACTTTTATTAAGGCTGCGGTCCCACGGCAGCCATCTTGAACAAGGCGTTAGTTCAACCAATAGATGGCGACACGCACCCGTGGGGTGGCCGAAACATTGGTTCACAGTGGGATGGCTCGAGCACCATCACGTTCCCCTCGTGGCCTTGGTCGCGCCGCTGCCAGCTGTGCTCAGCTAGCTCAAGTAGCGTGGCCCAGCAAACGGATGTATGCGAGAATATGCGGTTCGGCGGTTTTAACGGGCTTTCGCAATAAATCTTACCAAGAAGGAATCAAATGTTGATTGACGTGTCAATATTCTATCAATGAAAATTTCCTCTGCAGGAATGCACGCTCAGTAGACTCAATCTTCCAAGACACCAGTGGAAGCGGACGTCAAGTAAACTGCTTCGCGATTTACGGTACTTAACTCACCATTTTAATGACGACTAAAAAAGGTCACGAAATATTATGTTTCACGGGGTCCGGAAGATGTAAAGGTTGTTACATTATAACTTTATAGTTCCCAGAAAACAAACGCCGTTGCAATATTTTCGAAAGTACCGACACACATAATGTTGTAAGTACAGCTCAGGAGGAATATGATGAAAGCCATCACAAGCAAGTTTCTTCTCAGCGAATGGTAAGTGTCCAGTGTCAAGCACAACACGTTGCTACCGACGTTGCCGAGGTTTCGAACACTTACCGCTTTCGACAAAAGTCCTGGCACCTGGGCTAACTTTGTGGAAAGACTCGAAGTAGCTGAAAACGATCCACTATTCAGTCCGTGGGTGGCGAAACGTATCCATATCTGCGGAGTCATGGGCGATGCGTACTCTAAGTTTCTGGAAGTTTACACGATGCCTGCCACGACGTCCAAACACAGCATTGGCGTTCTACGGTCGCTTTTACCTACTTTTGCCCTACCGAAAATACTTTTCTCTGATAACGCGCCAAATCTTGCTTCAAATAAAATAAACAAGTTTTTGAAGAAGAAACACCGGCATCAAGCATCACATTAGTGCAACATACCATCCTGCAACTAACGAGCAAGCAGAACAGAAGGTGTGCAAAACGAAAAAAAGCCCTTTTGAAGCTTACGGAAGAAACAGTTCAGTGAAGAACCGTTTGCTCGAAGCGCTAACCGCGGCTAAAGTTAGCCGCAGTACCTAGGAGAGGGATTTTGAAACCACGTGCCCGGCTCGGTAGGGATGCGGGGAAACATGGCCGTGCCCCGGTGCGAGTGAGCGCCGCTCGCTTTGGAACTAATATGTCGTTGCAGCTGCAATATCGGGCGCGTTAATCAGCAACAAATGGTGCAGAAGGCTTTCGCATTGCATTACCTCACTTAAACCGCAAAGCATGAGCGATGACCTCGCCGCATTTTTTAGATAGTCTTTCGATTCTGGCCATTACTAAGCCTAAATGAACGCGATAATTGTCGGCATGGCAACGTCTTTGGAAAGCGAATTGTCTTTACTCAATCGGCCGGGTTTTGATCGCAAGCATCAAGGAAAACACTGGAAGTGTAATTCTACGGTCCGCGCGCGCTGGCCAATCATAATAAGGCTTTGACCAACGCGCGTGCAATGCAAAATTTGTTTTAGGCTTTTTTTGCTTTCGAACAACTACTACTGCAGACGCCAGCACGTGCAACACGTATAACTACAATCGTAGCATGCACCTCGGTGATTGGGAAATTTAGAAAAAAGATTTATTGGGACGCTGACTACTTTTGTGTGCTATCAATACTCGGCCGATTGAGTCAAGGCAGTCCACTTTCCAAAGACGTTGTCATGCCGACAATTATCGCGTTCATTTAGGCTTAGGAATGGCAAGAATCGAAAGGCTATCTAAAAATGCGGCGAGGTCATTGCTCATGTTTTGCGGTTTGAGTGAGGTAATGCAATGCGAAAGCCTCCTGCACCATTTGTTGCTGACTAACGCGCCCGCTACTGCAGCTACCACGACATATTAGTTCCAAAGCGAGCGGCGCTCACTCACCGGTGCACCGCCATGTTTCCCCGCATCCCTACCGAGTCGGTGACGTGATTTCAAAATCCCTCTCCTAGGTACTGCGGCTAACTTTAGCCGCGATTAGCGCTTCGAGCAAACGGGCCCTAACGGGCCCAGGTTCTTGTTCCGGCAGCACGCGACGGACTCATCTTACACGGAAAAAAACCCGCCGAAGCAATATTCGGCGGACGAAGTGCCACACCCCTCGATCTCATGATACTATGGCCTACGAACAAAGATCGGGAGATGCCCAGATCGGGAGTAATAGCAGTTTATTCGGTCGGACAACTCGTCTACGTGAGGAATTTCAGCGGAAGTCGGGCATTCCATGTAAAACTTG